GTTATTGTCCACTGTGAATAATAAAAAGATTATTTTAATAATTTATATATTTATTAATATTTTATTTAAAATACATTTAACACAATATAATAATATAAAAATACTATTCTTTCAAGATGTTTTATTTAAATCTTACATTTATTTAATTTATCTTATCTGGTAATTATAAGAGTAATAATTTCATTCTCTCTTACTCATTGCAACTGTAACGATAGAGACAAAACATAAATTACCTAAACTTTAGCTGACATGGCAATTGCATTTACCAATGCAGGACTTTTATTAGAGAAGAAATCAGGAAGTGTTTTTGGCTGGGTAAAATATATGGTATAATTTTTCTTAATTTTTTTACTGGACTTTTGCTTTTATAAATTGAAAGAAGTTTACCTTTTCTTTTCTTTTAGTAAATTAAGATCTTTATATTGAAAATTTTTTCTAACTAACACCAAAACCTTAAATAATTCCCCCTCCCCAAACACAGATTCCTCCATCCTACTCCTTAACAAGGGCAAAATGTAATAATAATAACAAAAGAGAATGTTTTCAAACTAACACCAAACTACAACAGAGTTTTGAAAATGTAAGGGCCGTTCCGTAATTCAATTCGGCTCTGGCGCCCCCTCGCGGACGGCGGGTACTTAAATAGAGAATGTGAACTGGAAGTTACACTGCTTTTACTTCTCTGATCAGTGATCAACGTTACAGGGAGCTCCTGCTGGAGATGGGAGTATCGGACTTATTCGCCGGCGAGATTGCCACCGAACTCTTTAAAATGCTCGTGAAGATAGCACAAAGATCATGCCTCTGCAAGTCTAGCGCCCAGCAGCTCCTAACCTACATCCAAGAACTCCTCCCTATAATCCAAGAGATCAAGTACTCAGGCGTCGAATTGCCGCAAGAGAGACAGCGACAGCTCGACAGCCTATCCGAAATGCTTCGCAATGGAATTGTACTAGCCAAAAAAGTGCTCGGTTCCGGCCGGTGGAACGTGTACAAGAATCTGCAGTTGGCACGAAAAATGGAGAAGTTGGAGAAAAGCGTTGGGATGTTCTTGAAGGGGCCGTTGCAGGCGCACGTTTTGGCGGATGTTCATCATTTGAGGTTCGAGTCGGCTGGGAGGCTCGAGCGGCTGGAGAACTCGGCTTGGCGGCTAGAGCAGAGGCTCAGCGCGCTGAAGATTGGAGTCGGCGGCGAGGGAGGGTGGGTGGAGGAGGCGATTAAAACGGTGGAAGAAGAAGATAAATTCGAGAGTAATTTGGAAAATTTTGGAATTGGGATGGAGCTGGCGAAGAAGAAGGTGAAGGAGATGGTTATTGGGAGAGACGATTTTAAGGTTTTAGGGGTTTGTGGGATGGGAGGTGTTGGGAAGACGACTCTGGCACGAGAGATTTGGAGAGACGACGAACTCCGAAGTAAGATAAATTGTTGCATTTTTGTATCTTTCTGTATTTATATGCCCATATGCTTGTGTTATATGCAAGTATGCTTCAAACACTTACGTGATTACTTCTGTTTGGTCGCTAGAAAATGGAGAAAGAAATAGCAATTTGATATTTAAGGAATGATGCAGAGGCTGTGATTCTTAATAATTCAATCAAGAAAATAGTTAAAACCAAGCATTTTATTTTCATGAATTAAATTTGTTGATTATTACTATTTTTAGAAAGTACATACTGAACTTGATCTAACTTCTGGAATTTTTGATATTGAAATTATCTTCTTCATTTAGAGCTATAATTTAACTGCTGGCTATAATAATCAGGTTACTTCAACAACAGGGTTTTCTTCGTTACTGTATCACAGTCCCCCAATATTGAAGAATTGAGGTCTAAGATTTGGGGGATGATAACTGGAAGCAGCATGGTTGGTTCGTGTGAAATGACTCCACAGTGGATGTTACAATATGATTTCAGGATTGTTGTGAGAACGCTAGTGATATTGGATGATGTTTGGTCACTTCCGGTGCTTGAACAGCTTATTTCCAGAATCCAAGGATGTAAAACGCTCGTGTTTTCACGGGTAAAATTCTCCCCTGCTGTAGTCAACTGCACCTTTGAGTTGGAGCTGTTGAGGGAAGATGAAGCCTTATCCTTGTTCTGCCATTCTGCTTTTGGTCAAAATTCCATCCCTTTTGGTGCTAATGAGAGATTGATCAAGCAGGTATATAAGATTGGCATAACAAGCTTCCTAATTTGCTGTCAACTATTTCCTGTTGCTGATTGAAAATGCACTGTATAGGTTGTTGATGAATGTAAAGGGCTTCCTTTGGCTCTTAAAGTAATTGGAGCTTCATTAAGAGGCCAGCCTGAAAGGTTTTGGACCAGTGTGAAGAATAGGCTATCACGAAGCCAACCTATCTGTGAATCCCATGAAATCCAACTACTTGAAAGATTGAAGTTAAGTATCAATCATTTGCCAGAGAAGGTAAGGCAGTGCTTTTTGGACTTGGGTGCCTTTCCAGAGGATAAGAAAATCCCCCTCGATGTTCTGGTCAGCATATGGGTTGAATTGCATGATATTGATGAGGAAGAAGCTTTTGCCATTCTCATAGAGCTTTCAGAAAAGAATCTTCTCACCCTGGTGAAAGCTGCAAGGTAAATCGATTCAGAATCTGGAGTCTATTGTTGAATTACTGGACCTTGAAATCCATTGCTTTTATATTACAAGATGTGCGGGTGTCCTTTAGATGGTTTAGTCAGTTTTTACCTTATGGTAAACTTTCAATTTGTCAATTTTGGCAGAGCTGGAGATATATATGGCAATTACCTTGAGATCTCTGTCACTCAGCATGATGTGCTGAGAGACTAGCCATTCATTTGAGCAACTGCGAGAATGTGAACCTGAGGAGGCGATTGCTTATGCCAAGAAGAGAAGTGGGGATCCCAAAGGAATGGGAAAGGAATGCAGATGAACCATTCAATGCCCAAATCGTTTCACTGCATACAGGCATATTATAGATAATTGCATTTATAATGTCCTTTGCTGTAATATTAGTTTCTTCCCTCTAGGCTGACATTGTTTATCTTATGGCAACTAGGTGAAATGAGAGAAATGGAGTGGTCTGGCATGGCATTTCCCAAAGCAGAAGTACTCATCCTGAACTTCGTGTCGGGTGAATATTTCCTTCCTCCCTTCATTGAAAACATGCCCAAGCTCCGTGTATTAGTACTAATTAACTATAGCACCAAAAACACAATCATCCGCAACTTATCAGTATTTGCAAATCTTCAAAACTTGAGGAGTCTCTGGCTCGAAAAAATATCATTCCCTCAATTACCTAACACCACATTACCCCTGGAGAACTTGCAGAAAATATCTCTAGTTCTCTGCAATAACATGGCGATTCTCAATCGGTCAGTTTTGGACCTGCCCTACCTCTTCCCTAGCCTCTCAGAGTTAACAATAGATCACTGTGTGGATTTGACCGAACTGCCCCAAGCATTTGCCAGATGCAGTCTCTTAAAAGCTTGAGTGTCACCAACTGCCATCTCCTTCTTGAATTGCCAGCCAATTTGGACAAATTGAGATCTCTAAAAATCTTAAGATTATCTGCATGCCCTTCTCTGAGAAGACTTCCTCCTGGAATCAACAATCTGGTTTTGTTAAGGTACCTCGACATCTCCCAGTGTGTTAACTTGGTGTCATTTCCAGAGGAGATAGGCAGGCTAACGAGTTTGGAGAAGATTGATATGCGAGACTGCCCGCAAATTAAAAATCTGCCGCAGTCTGCTGCAGCGTTGCGGGCCTTGCGATGGGTAATTTGCGATGAAGAGGTTTCCTGGTTGTGGGAAAGACGTTTAGAGAAGGCCATACCAAGCTTTTATGTTTCAAGTTGCCGAGGAATGCTTTGATCTGGACTGGCTCTCCGAGTAAGGTATATTAATTTCATTTTCAATAAAGTAGTACGAGAATTCTGAAGCATTTTTTTTTTTTTTTTTGTAAAAATGGGCTTGTTCCCCCATCAGTCACCTTTTGTGGATTCTGACTAGGGAGGTGTTGTATGTAGAACACAAGTCCCCTTGTAAGTAGCCAAGGTTGTTGGCCAATTGATATTCGTGACATGGGCTAAATTCACCATGCAGGTGCAATGGAGGACATTTTGTGCAGCACAAACCCAGGTCTACGAGTTTGACTCATGGTCAAAGTGAATGAGTAAAAGCTTAGTTAATCAAAGCAAACCCACCACTAACTCGGTGACTCAGTCTCGCCTTTTCTATCGGTAGATGGGAGGCCATCAGTCTTCTCTTCCCTCTACTAGTGCCAATGAAGCAGCAGGTCGGGAATCCACCATTGGGAGCCCCAGGTCACGTACTTGTGTTTAGATTTCCATTGGGTTAGTCAGTTATTACTAACACAAGGAAGATGAAAGAGTGTAGGCCATGAAAGTGATGTGACAAGCTCTGATTGTCAATGGTCAAGGTCAAACAGGACCAGTGATCAGGGACCGCGGTCCAGCGTTCACACTATCTTCCTCTCTCTGATTGCTACATACAGTTGGCATCTTAGAAGGAATATTCCATTTAGTGAAAATCCTCAATTATTTTAAATTTCGTTTGTACCAGATAAAAGAAACTTGATCAACGACTTCAATCAATATGAATCATCTCACTTCTTATGTAATCCGTTTGGTTTTTAAAATTAAAAATCCAACCAGCTACCTAGAAAGATTTCTTGTAGTTTTTCCTGTTTTTCGAGTTATTTCAAAAATGAAACGCGTCGAAAATTATTACACGCTGTTATTTTATCGTTTTCCTTTCAATGAAAATACTTCCGAAAATTCTAAAAACAACTTTCTGTTACTAGCAATGTCCCACGAACATTCATGTGATCTCAAGGAATTCGGATATCTAAGAAGCCAAACATAAAATTCAAGCTACAACTCAGATTCATGCTTCATATCAGTGAAAAAGAGACAAATATAACAGTCAAAAACTTGAAAGTAAATTTTAAAAGAAAAGGTTGAATGCATACAAGTAATATACAAAGCATGTAAAGTATTTTCAGAGGAATCTGGAGGGAATTAGCTCGTTTATCCTAACAGGGTAACTATAAAACTCATCGTTTCTGCCATCTCCTTTCCTTTCCTGAAAGGGAACCCACCATGGAAGCCCTCTGTCGTCCACGTGCTTTGCTTCAAGGGTGTTGTCTAACAAAGCTCCGACAATAATTGCCACAGCAGGAGGTGAAGCGAACATCGTATTCCATATGTCATTGAACTGCAACAGAAAAGAAGGGAAAAAAAAAGATGTCTTTCCATCCTTGAATTTGACAAAATAAAAAAGCAAAGGAGTGGGAAGAGGTCCATCTTACCCATCCAGCACTGGTTTTAACAGGCCCATAACCAGTACTTTGATCAGTATGCATAATAAAATATTGTGGTATGATATTCCGAGGAAAAAGTGAGGCCCAGCACATAAATATTTCGCAAGGAGTTCTTGTTTGCAAATTGAATGAACGAAACCCCAACAGCAGCTGCAAGAAATACAGTAGGGTGGATAAACACGGAATGGAATCACCACCTCAACTAAGTCTAAAAGCCATGCCATAAACACTCACCAACAATTCCATACAAGACACAGTATACCGCAGCAAAAATTGGTAAAGGAATAGACGCAAAGAAGGCACCAAATTTCCCTGAAAAAAACAGGACATTCGGATCAAACTTGTGGTCATAAATCATGGTAAGTTGTAACCAGGCCATGATGCATGTAAAAGATAACAAACCGAATATGGAAAAGAAGATCATGAAAGCAGTGGATATCTGCACAACTCTTCTGCTCCCAACACGAGTTAATCCAAGAAGCAACATTTTCACTGCATTCTCATCAATTCAAATGTTAACACTTCCAGTTTACAACATGATTCTTGACACACGTTTGTCAGTAAAATGATACCCCACGAGCCAGGGAAAGATTAAGGGCAAACTCATGAAGGGGGCGAGGGGGAAGTTGTTGTATCCTTTGACTCCTATGAAGTCTATATACTTCAACTTCAATTACTGAAAAGGACATTGGTTTCAGGAAAAATTTAAAAAGCTTCCCTCATAGTCTGTGGACTCTCCAACTAAATTTCTCCTATGACAACCAATTCTGTGGACTCCAAAAAATATCTGAACCAGACATTAAAGGTTTCATACAGATCTAAGATGCCATATTACTTCTAAGAAGGATTATAAAGTATCCATAGCACCTAGCAACTGCATAATAAACAAACTAGAACAATAGACCAGAAGAGAGATTGAAACAATGATTGTAGAGTATCATTTCCTAAAAATACTTACACAGAAGCGGTGGTACAACAAAACAGCACCAAATATTCCCTCAAGCAGCTGGCCAACACCCTGCAGTCAAGATCAGAAACAATCAAATAATCTCCCAAGGTATTCTAACATTTTCAGACAGCATCTAATAGAAAAGTTCAGAGAACAGTTATAGAAAGAACAAAGAATTGGGCCCCTGTATGTGGACCTGTAGACCAATGCTTCGGCTAAACAGTGAGCTGGAGGTGCTGTAGCACCTGCAAGCCGTGATGCAGCATAAATTGCTCCTGTGGACTGCACTACAGATTCATAAAAGGTTAAAAGAGGATCATTCTAAAGCTTGTTCTTTTTATTGCCTAGGAAATGTAGATTTTTGAGAATTTTATTCATTTTATGGGTTTACATAACAGATTTTGGTAGAAAGCCACTTCAGAGCAGTGTTTAAGAACTTTAGTTCTAGTATGGTTAACACAAAACAGGTTCCTTTGAGAAAATCACTTTGGTACAAGGTTAAAAATCAGAAAGTTAAAAGGTTGCTTGAGATGAAACACATAAAAAGTAAGACTACTGTAGACTGTTACAAAATGGATAGCAACTAAACCTCTGCTGATGAAACAAGTGCAGCCCCATCATTCCAAAGACATGGCTTGCTCGGAAAATTGGAGGACCCCATTGAAAAGGATAAGGAATTTTGATCCTGGATTAACACATATCATGTCATATAAATTCTCAAAGAAAAGGTTTAACTTGTTGGGCAATCTCATATCATTGAAAATACCATGGAGCAGATCTCAAGAGGTTTGAACTGTCTACACGACAATTCTGCCTAGCTCTACTAGCATCGTCATTGTAAGCACCAGCTGCAGTAAGGATAGCAGCAAAAGCCCAGACAAGCCCAATACAGAAAAGCAAAGCAAACCTCTCGAGGATGGTATGAGCACGTGAATGGAGGTTCTTCAGATACTGAGAAAATTAGTTACTTTTAATTTCACATACTTAAATTGAGGAAAAAATAGATGTCATTTTAAGAAAGGCATACCTGCTGGAAAATGACCGCAATATTAACATTGGCAGGCCAATCTCCACGCAATTTGCAAGCTGTATAGAATAATTAGCAGTAGTTTTATGCGTTCTACAGTTATGCAGCATCATAATCAGCCAGTGTTTGGTAATAGAAACATACCAGTGGGAAGCCTCTTCCAAACAAACCAAGACCAACCAAACATACAATTGGCACTACGACAACAGGGCTGAAAAGCCTAAAGAAGGGTAAGACACAATAGAAAAGGTGAAGAACCTTGAAATCTAACTAAAATTAGGCAACTGTTGTGTCAAGGTACAAAAGTAAGAAGTAATGGGTTTAAAAATGTAAAATCTATCAAAGATGAAGCATAAAATCCATTTAGAAATCACCATGTGTTACCTTGTGAGGTTTCCCCACACTTTGCCATATCCAAGGATGATATTGATCAGGGAAGACACAATCAGAGATCCTTGAACAGCTCTCATAGTGTGAACAAATTCTACACAAATTGCACTAGAGACATTATGAAGAATTACATCAAGAAATATTAAAAACAAAATAAAACACACCAATGAACCAAGGATTAAAATTAGATGACAGCTCAGATTTATATGCATTTAGATACTAAAGTGAACCGGGGAATCATATGGCCAGGTACTAGTTAATAGCAGGCCACCATTTTAACATAATTGTCCATATGGAAATTGAAAATCTAAGATGTGGCAATAAAGGAAAAGATGGGGAAAGCCTACCATGATGTAGTGGATAAAAAATAAGCATCTATTCAAAAAACCTAATTTAAAAATTTGAAGATTTAATAAATCTTATTCCTTCTGGAATTTTAGTTTCCTTGAGACTAATATTATTAGGAAGCTCCTGTATTTTATTGGGAAGTTAAGTAATTTAAGGAGGTAAAATGTAGGCTTAGAATCATATTTTCTGTTTTTACCAAAAGAAAGAGTTCTATTCTGTCAATTTTCACTTGACTACTGAGTAACTATCTGCGGATACCCATGAAAATACTTCAATATTGGTCAAACTAATATCAGAGGTGAATCCTTCATTTTTCTTAGATGCTTTTGTTGCAGCCTTACCCTAGGGTTGGCTACTTATTGTCTTTCCTCTTCTCCTTGAATTTTTTTTTTCTTTTGGCTGTTATTTGGAGGACTATTACAAACCAAGAATAGTTATTAAACCATAATTTTCTTATATTTTAAATAAACCCCATTCTCATGCGGCAACTTCTGCGCTAATAAAATTTGCCAACAATTTGACATTTACTCAACCCTCAAGCCCTTCTAAAATCATGCCTCAAACTGCAACTTTTCAGCTGCTGGAACAGTCCTACATCACAATAGCTGGCTGGCTATGTTCGACACAGACCATCTTTGAGCGGTCTCCAGGACTTAGATTAGATAAATTAATGGCTACAAATACACGAAGATAAGCCAAATTGCAAAATATAGTAAATATAAATGATGATAAAAGACATACTGGGGCAAGGCCCAAAATCTGAGTTGGACTACAATAGTATCAGTGCCTCTGTAGTCAATCTATTACATGTTGGGACCGAAGCACTTCTCATATAAGTTGTATAGTTGAATCTCAACAAGACAGAAGAGCAAATACATTAATGACAACAAAAAATAAAAAAAAAATTCAAGATAGTTCTCAAAATAAAATGAGCAACTATAAGAAAAGACATGGTTTGCACTTACAGAATCATTAGGATCTCTCACAAGCCCTAGTTTATAAAATACAAAGACAATAAATCATACGTTTCAGTAATTAGGGTGTTTAATATCCAAATATTGGCAGCCTTTTTGGCAGTATATTTTGAACTATAGAGAATTATCTTCCTAATTTTTTTATAGTTGATTATGAAAAAGTGGAGAGCACCAAATACCTAAAAAGAAATGAGGAAAAAAAGAAGTTAAGCCTATTCTTTATAGAAAAATCAGCATTAAGAGTTGAATAAAGTGAATAAACCGCAGGAGACTGAGAACCATATACATTCTGAAAGATGGGTCAAATATTAAGAACAAGGCTGTAAATCTAGCATGTCTAAGAAAATCTAACAACTGGTGCCATGAAGAATCACCAATAAGTGCATTTACCGTCGGTCAATCTATCTGTTCATAGTTAACAGTCAACAATGATGCTGCATACCTGGTGGTCACTTGGGAACTCCTCATCAGATAAATCCCGGGCCACAGACAACACAGATATGAGATAAGCAAATGATGGACCCATCACCGTGGGCAGCCGCCCCCAACCCAAGTTTGCAGAAGAGTATTCACCCCAGACATAAACAGCAATGATTGAATCACCGGGCTCTATCCACCCTGTTCAAATGCACAATAAAGCTTATAAAGAGAGACAAGATTTGGACAGGATGAAACACAAACAAAAAATAGAGGTGGTGAACAAGAGGACTCACAGCACCCCCACCCATTTGAGACACAAGAATGGTGGCAATCATAACTGTGGTGCCAAGCATCACAATATAGTGCTGAAAAGCCAGGAAAACAGTTTGAGCTGCAAATTTCAAACCAAGGAATATCATCAGCCACCAAAGAATCAACAGCAGAACCAGGGTCTGGAATTGTAGTTATCTATTCTGTTTCCTGTTCTCAGTTCCAATTTTTAAAACAGAAATAATGAAAATTCTGAAAACCCCATTGTTTTCCAATATTTTTCCTTTGCAAGCATAAATAGTTCTCAGAAATTCAGAAAAAAGTTGTTTCTTCAAGATGGGCGCGATTTCTTGAAATTTTCGTGAAATCAGTTTTTTAAAACAACCGGTCGTTTCCAAAAACCATAACAAATTTGAGAAACAATCCAAAAAGCTAGCCACCAAGCATTTAGAACACATAAATTGGGTGCCATAGGGGAAAATTAGCTAGCTTTGTTCGATA